ATCCACGCAAATAATTGTGATAAAATAATGAATGTTTTAATACATAAAGCATTTTGGTTGAATATAATTTGCAATTAATTTTTTTGTGCTTTTTTTTTACGCAAAATATTATAGTTAACACTGATAATTTTGATAAATTTAAATGAGCAAAGTTCTTTTCTTTTTCTCTTTTATAACATGTAAGAAAAGAAAAAAAAAAAAAAAAAACGAAGAATGATGTGATAATTTTCAAAGTTTTTATCTTTTTTTTTTTTTTCTTCATTCTTAATATCATAGAATGTGTGATATGTATTATCAGTTTTTGATCTTAATTTATCATCAATGGCTAATCGTATTTATGTCCATTTCTTTTTTCTTTAAAAATAAAAAATAAAAATAAAAATAAATGAAAAATGAAAAGACATTATATTTTCGTTGTTTCACGACAAGTTTATCATCATCCAATGTATTAGAGTATGAAATAGTTTTGATTGGTTGTGAAATAACTTAACAACTGATTTGAAGTTGAATTTCAACGCATGATCATGTACTTTTTTTTTTTTATTTAAAAAAAAAAAAGTGCAAAATGGACATTTGATGGATGACACGAAATCTTATGATTGTTTCTGCTAATATTACTCATGGAAAAAAAAAAAGAAAAAGGAAAGGAAGAAAAACTCCCAGAGGATTTAACCGGGAAGTTTTTATTATGGGAAATGTTTGATCAACAGAAATTATCATAAAAAAGTGCAAAAAAAAAAAAAATGTATCAAAAGGAAATATTTCTCACTTAAACTCATTCATATTTTTTTGATAAAAATTTAATTCACAAAAGTTGCTAATAAAATTAAGCATATATTTCGATCAATGTATTTAATTTCTATCCGGTTATCTAATTCAGTGCATAAATATATTGTAACAATAAAATGTATTTGGAACAGATAGGTTTTTAATTATTTTGTTTAATCCGGAAATATTCCGTAAATGGTTAAATTTAATGAAGGATGAAAAGAAAAAGTGAATGGATATGAATATTCACAAAAAGTTTGTTTAATTTATGGTATTTTAGAAAACAGAATTAACGATAGCTTATGTGAACACTGATCAAAATGATCAATTGTATGTGAGGAAAGGTATGAAAATTTTAATTGATAAAAATTTGCTCAAGATAAATAAAATATGATGAATATGATAATGTCCGGATATAAGTATTGGATAATTTTATTAATAATCATTGATATTAACAAATATTAATTTTTGTTTTAAATATATTTTAAAATGTTGAAGCATATTTTTAGGTCTTATTTTACCTTTTTAGGAATAAACTTGAATGATATATTTTATCTTTAACCTTCTAATTACTTTCAAATATTTCAATTTGTTTTTCGTTTTTCTTTTGGTTTGCCTCTAACTTTTTCTCACACAAAGGTATAAAATTTAAACATTCATATATTTAAGTAATGGTATGAAAATTCATAGATTTGAAGTAAATAATCATTATTTGTTGCAAAAAAACAAAAATACCGAATTGGAAATGATTATAAAAAGATTTGATAAAATCTGTTTAAAATAAATTAGTAAAAAAGTAAAAGTAAACAAAAAAAAAATTATCAACCAAAAATACAGATAATCCTTACGATATCATTGTGCGTCATCTAAAAAATACCAGATGATATAGTTATGCTCAGGGAAAAGAAAATCAGGATCAAAAAAGAAAAAAAAAGAAACCTGAATTAATCAGAGTTATAATTGAGTAAAATGAAATGATAGCTATAAAAAAATTTTTCGAAAAGAAAAAATCAACTTGCAAGCATCATTGCAGAGTCATTATTAAATTACAGTACACCATAATTACAAATCAATTTAGAGCTACCAATCATCTAAACCAGATTTTTTTTTTACATACAACAAAAAAGTTTTTGTAGTATGCAAAAAAAAAAAAAATAGTATTTGATTATTGATATATACATATGTATGACAAATAAAAATTAATTTCATTCAAATATTCCACCCTATTTTCATAATAACTTTTAAATTTTAAGCAATGATATTGATACAAGAATTCGATGTAATATAAATGAATTGATTAGCGCAAAGGTTAAAGGATAAATTGATTTCATAATTATCAAAAATTATCGAAATATTTAAAAGGAATGTATAAGTAATGATGAAATAGGATAAATGTAGAAATAAAGTATGAAATAAAATGAAACAAAATTTGTCTTTTTTTTTTCGAGAATTTAAAAGTAAATTTGTCTACACGACTGCATAATTGAAACTTACAATTTGTAATGATAAAGAAACAAAGAAAATAGAATTAATTTTCATAAATCAATAGCTAAAAAAAAGAAAAAAAGAAAAAGAAAAAGAACAAAACAAATAGAATGAGCTAACAAACTTTTGGAAATTTTAGAATCAAATTCAAAAATTTTGATTGAAGTTCAAATTTTTCAAAAATTTTTATCGCTCACTTTAATTTTTCCTTTTCTTTTCTTTCTTTTTTTTCCTTTTTCTTTGTCAAATAAATTTATATAATA